GTCTGTGGTATTATTTGATCTCACATGGGTGTGGGGGGGTCATTAGCAGGTGTTATGGAGCTAATGTTAATAAAGTCTTTATGGCCAGTTTAAAGCAACTAAGATATAGACAGAGTGGCATGTATGCTCTGGGTACTTTTCTACCATCTAGTTACTTGTTCAGGTTCCTTTGTCAGTGCGTATACACCTGTAAAATGTTAACAATGATTAATTATAAGGCTTTATAAAAACAGAGCTATGAAAAGCAAACACCTTTGCAGAATGCTTACCGGCAATAGTTACAAAGTTTTGTAAAATAAACCAACAAGAGTAAAACTAACTTGAAAATGAACTATTTCTTTCTAGGCTCATGAGTGTCTAAAACTACTTCCCTATTAGGAGGCACAGATTTGGGCACACGGTTTTAGGGCCTGTCTAATTATCTTTGCTAAAGAGAATAACCATAGTAACATTCGGAAGACACAAACTTAAAGCTGTTGGAGAACGTTCACATGATTATCGATTCTATTTTAGAGGACACCGTCTTGGTAAAGTGTCTTCCTAAGCTGTGCATCTTAAAGGCTTCAAAGTAGAAAAGAACTAGCAATAGTTATCACCATTACATAGAGCAATACAGTGAAAAATATTTCACTGTTCCTTTTTCAAAGGATAACTGACAAATTTAAGATAAACTTCAGATTTTTTACATCAAAATAAAACATGGGGATAGTGAAGACAAAACTTATTTTTGATGTTTTGTTCTATAAAATACTGTATAAAATATTGTATAAAATACAATAGTTGTTGCTGTTGGCTGGCTCCCAGAGGTTGAAGGTAAGTCACTATTGCTGAAGATACCATGCACTTTGGACACAAGATATGGTGTACTTAAGTTTGATCTGACTTGATTCTTTCTGCCTGAGGGCTAGCTTTCATAGTACCTAAAATTTCTATTCATATAGCCAAGGGAGGGAAACGACTAAGTCTTACCTGGCTATAACACCTGTGAACCACAGTGGCAACCCGCACGGCACAGCAACCCCCAGGGGGCAATAGTAGCATTCTGAGCGCCTTTCTTTCTCTTAACCTTAATGCTTAAGGTCATATACCAAAAGCTTTCTTAAACCTTGGTGGTAACCAGCAGTTGTCTAGTTACATTTAAGGCCCACTCAACAGGCGGGAAATCATGCCTGGTACTGGAAACCTAGCCAACTACCTAGTTAGTAGGTCACGGGTCTTAGAGGAGAACCTATTACTGTCACTTCACTAAACCAACACAATTTTCAATTGCATTCTAAATACTCACCCTTATAGCAACAGAGAAGTATAACTCTCTCCCCTCATCAAAGAAAGTTCTCTTTGCAACACTTGGAGAGCATTACAGAAAACCACTACCAGTCAGAATGCAGAGAATAAGTGATCATGGTTTCCTAGCTGATACATCTACAACTCCTGTAGCTAAAGCTCAGGGAACAAGGAAAGGGGCGGGGATAAGAGAATCAGGAGACACACTGTGAAATTGTCTCCTAAAAACGACAGGGATGTTTCACCTATGATATCTCAATAACATGGCTACCTAAATAAAACCCAAAGAAGTGCACCAATCAGTATGCTACCAGGAAATGAGTAAATCTCCTGTGGCCTCACCCATAAACAAAGAACTGCAGGCAACTGAGGACTGATGAATGGGAGAGTCTTCCCCAGGGATGAACCCTCAATTCCTTATCCAGTACCAAGTGGTCAGCCCTGAAATCATACACATAAAAGTAATAGTATCATACTGAGAAGGGTGCATGTGTGCATATCTAAAATAATTGGCATATACATACATATCAATTAAATAAGAAGAGGCCGAGAGTTGAGAGTAAACATGGGAGAAACTGGAGGGAGGAAAGGGAATGGGAAAATGACTCAACTATATTCAATTAAAATTAAAATATTATGGCTTATCTAGTTTATTTTCCTGTTGCTTTGATTCCATACCCCAACAGAAACGACTTGGCTTGGCTTGCAGCACAAAGCTTCAGTCTATCACGATGGGGAAATCAAAGAGCAACAAACGCTGCTTACCTAGACTTTGCCTTTATTTAAAATAAGTTTACCACATCAAGTTTCCTCTTCTTCTTCCTCCTCCTTCGTCACCTGTCTCCCTACCCCCGATCAAGGTTAATTTGTGCTGTCCACACATTCTTGGACACATGGCCATCTACTGGAGTGTCGTCAACTTGCCAGGGCTACATCTTAAAATGGATTAATGAGATTTGTTTTCCCAGCAACAACACTTCCTAGTAACTAACTCCTTGGTTAGGGTTGGAACTTTGTTTCCAATCCCCTATTCAGGTGGGATGTGGTCTGCCTTGGGCCTGCAGAGGTCTCGTGCATGCTGTCACATCTTCTGTGAGTTCACATGTGCAGCTGTCATGCTGTGTCCAGAAGAGTTTCACTGTAGTCACCCACCATCTTTGGCTCTCACATTCTTTCCACCATCCTCCACAGTGACCTCTAAGCCTATGGAGGAGGGACTGGAGTATACATGTTCCCTTCAGGGCTGAACATTCTTCAGCTCCTTATTCTTTGCACTATGGCCAGTTGTGGGCTTCTCTGTTGCCCATTATCTATTGCAAGCAGAAGAAGCTTCTCAGCCAAAGGTTGAGAGGTGCCTTAATCTATGGGTATAATGATAAGCCATGAGAAGTTAGTTTATTATTATACTGGTTTAGCCGAATAATGGATTTCTTTCCAGAGTCTATGACATGTCTAGCCATAGATTCTCGGTCCAATAAAGGTGACAGGGATGGATTTCTTTTTGTGGAGTGGGCCTTAAATCCAATAAAAAATGGTTGATTATTCTTTGTATTTGGGCAACTACTACACCAGTAGATAGGTCTTACCAGGGCAGTCATTATTGTATCTTAAAGGGTTCACAGCTGGGTGTAATGACTATTTTTCTTGTACGCTTAGAATCTTCTTGCACTATGCAATCTAGCTAGTAGGGATGACACATCCAGTGGAGGACCATGCTCTAGGACTCAAGTATGTGTGTGTCTTAGCAATACTTACAGTGTCTTATTATCAAGCTCTGGAGTGTTGGCAATAGCCTGGAATGTTTTGAAGTCTTTGAAACCTCACTGACCAACAACTCCAAAATAAGTAATCCAATCCTGGATTATTTGCTAGGATGTGTTGTCTAGGAGGGGCATTGTTGCTCTATTATAAGATAACTACATTTTGACTTTATAAAAGAAATTTTTATTTATTCTTCTCTCATACAAAACATCCCGCCCACAGCTTCTCCCCCTCCACTTATTTCAGTTTTGTTCCCCACCCCATTTCCCCTCTGCTGGTTGTGGAGGCAGGAGGATCATGAGTTCGAGGCCAGCCTGGGTTACACATTTTAACTCTTTACGTATGTGTATAGATGTACTTTAGGAAGGCTCCTCAATAGTAGGCTTCCATGTGACTTTTAAAAAAAGGCTTGAGTAATTTTAGGTGAATATGTTTGGTGAAGAGAGATACAAAGATTCTCAATAACATTCTTGCAAAACAAATTCAAGAACATAGCAAAAATATCCACCATTATCAAGCCAGCCTAGGATATAAGGGTAATTCAGCCTCCATAAATAAATGTGTTATTCTGAGAATGGTGAACTTTCTCAAGGTTAATTTCACTCCTGCCTCCTGTACATGGATACCAGCTAGTCAGGGAGATAAGTAAAATATTCATATCTCCCGAGATTTTTATTTAAACAAATGGCTTGTTAGTTCTTCTTCTAACCTCCCCCAAACTTGAGCTGAATGTAGCTTAAAACCAGAGAATAGTCTCTGCAAGTGTTATGTTCCTTGAAAAGAGAAAGCCATAGCACGACATTTCTATGTGTTAATGTGGGAATTAGAATTCCTGCTAGCTGGGAGACAAACAGCTAATCACAGTACTGTGCGTTTCAGGAAGTTTCTAAATGCTTCTTATTTGTACAGAAAGGGTTGATGTTCCAGGAGTGGAATACCAAGTAAGAGAGAATGCAAATGATGTTATTATTTTCTAGGAGAAAATCTTGGCAGCATGATCACTGGATTAAGGGCAATAAACAACACTTTACATTTTCATAAATAGTAATAGAAAAATGATTCTTTCCATTACTTTCAAAAATTCTTACTTGGATTTTTTTTCATATTTAGTCACCAAAAATATTTGAAGACGCAGTTTTTAATTATCCTTTGTGGCTAGTTGTTACTTCTTTAGGTACACGTGAAATTCTGGCGCCCTCTCATGGTCAAAAATTTTAACTATTCTCTTATGTGTGTGTACTTAAAGGCAATATTCCTTTAGGTGAGACGCTTTTTTCTGATCAGAGAAGAGGGCTTGCCTAGAGGCACAAAAAAACAAACAAACAAACAAACAAACAAAAAACAAAACAGTTTCTATACCACAATGTCTTTTATACCAGAAACACCAATGGGTGTCAAGAGTCCCTTGAGGCACTACATTTACCTTTATCAGGAGAACTAACTTAATGAACGATATCCATAAAACCAAAAACAAAGCAAGACCTGCTGAGAGAGAGACGTGCTGTTTATAATGCTTCTCGGTAGTGCATTTGGTCCAGTCAGCCTGGACTTGGGACTTCTAAATTTTTTCATTACAAAAAAACCTTTTGTATCACAAAGGACTCGGCCGTAGTATTGGCAGTGGCTGTGAAGCTACAGATCTGGGCCTGACTCAAGCCTTTTTGTAAGAAGGAAACACCTAGGTTTTAGCTCCCTGTGTACACCAGGTTGGTAATGATACCAGCATCCTCTACAGCGCTGTTATGATGTGAAACGTTGCCCTCAAATTGGCGGCATAAGACATTACCAACAAAATGACTATTATTGAAGAGTCTATTTAAGGACTACATATTTATTAAACTTCAGTGTAAAATTCTTTCAAACTAATTGGACTGGCTTTTGCAGTGTGAAACCCAATCTCCCTATCATTTCCTTATGCTTAAAACTCAGAGACCCCGAATGATTACACCATGCAGTTCCCGTTTGTTCGTTTTATTTTTACAGCACTGCACAATGATAAAACAGCTGACGTGCGATGACTTTGCACCATGGAAAACCACCTTGATCGTGTCTGACCTCACAGGGACCAGAGGTGGTGGGCAAGCGCTTCCGGAGAGTGACACCCTCTCCCCTCACAGAAGGATGGCCGGAAAGGGTTTTCGGTGTGGTGAGAGGATGGAAAAGAAACCGACATTTCAATTATTTTAAACGGCTTCACAACAAAACATAATTTACATAGTAACTCCTTTATGCTAGTATAAAAATAGTGCCAGAAACTATATATTTGTTCAGATACATTGAAAAGGCATTAAGAATACAAATAGATATCAATAGTGGTGAGTGACAGTTCATTCGAGTTCTTGAACAGCAATAGAAATTTATATTTTCAGCTATTTACATCACTTCCAACAGCATTCAAGACATGGCTACACAGGCTTTTTGATAATAATGAGGCAGGTGAGGTAAGCTCTAATTCTCCCTTCTTTGCTCTCTGTGAAAGGGCAGAGGAGATTCAGGCCAACTCTGACTCCTCTCTGCCTGACTGGAATATGGAAACATGATCTGTCATGGAAGACTCCTTCCTTACACAGGCGTTCTTCAGGCTATCGGCAGGTTAAAGGATCCATGCTGACAGGGAGACAGGGTGTTCACAGACATAGAAGAAATTCTGGATGAAAGTGCACAGTATGTATGTTACAGATGAGGGGATGCCCTCTATACAAGGTGGGATGAGAAATGGTGCTCTTAGTCATTTCCTGTATAGCCCGTGAGCTCCGTGAAGTTACTGCTCTGTTTCAGCCACTGAGCACTGTACCTAACAGATGGACAGGATTAATAACATATGGAGAGGATTTAATAAAAGGTGGCCTGATGCACGGCTGATACCAAGTAAATAAGTTCTACCACCTTATTTGAAACAGCTGTTTACAGGAGAGCAAGGGAACACTTTGTCTTCTGTCATCTTAAATCTGGCTAAAGAAAAAGGCCTCTCTGCTTACCTGTTACGGTTTCGGAATGAAAACCCCAGGAAATTTGGAAATGCAATAGGTGCCAAGCCAAACACTTCTGCAACACTCTGAGAGTAAAGGCACTTTACTGGTAGGCAAATAATTGTCTGGGATTCAAGTTCCTCCAAGAAATCAATATTTCTAGTACATTTTCATATCCACCCTTATCTCCATGCTGCTACTAACAGAGACTCTTCTTTGTACTTAATCAACCAGTAACAAAGCAGCATCCTCGGTTTATGCTCCGAGCCAGGGCTGTGTGGAATGGATTAAATGTACTTGCTTCCCATCTAAAGAACTCAACGTAAGAAATGACCTGTGGGATGAGATCACTTCTCTGCTTCAATTCCCCGTTTCTAACAGTGGTCTCAAAGGCCGGTAAGAAAGGCTTAGGAGCTAGCTGCCTCCTGTGACGCTTCCCTTGAACACAGGTTTTGTCCAAACCTAACTACATTAGGAACACAGCTTCCTTAGGTCCAGAGGTTAATTGACTTACACACATTCACACAGCATCATGACCGGCAAAGGCAGATCTTCTAAACATATAAGAGCAGAAAACTTTAGAGACAAGTTACAGAAACAGGAATTTTTCTGGCTAAAAATTAAAATTAAATGTTATCATATTATTTTTCTGCAACCAGTCAAGCAATTAACCAAACAAATGGTCTAGGACAAGAATAATATCTTGTTCATTATGGGCAATATCAATACATGGCAGTGTAAGGGAGAGATCATAATAATATATATAATATAATAAATATATTCCAACTTGAGAGGCTACTAGAAAGGCAATATTCACATTCAGAACAAAAACTGTGATTTGTGTTCTTGTACCACAGACAAGAAATCCATGTATGGAATGGTTTTCCTATAAAATAAAAATTATTTGAATAAAATAGTACTCTCCTGTGTATGAACTAAAATATCCAGCAATAATATAACATAACATAGTCATGGCACTACTCCTCCTATTTTAATACCTATCCTAGTAGATAAAATAAACCATTACCTAAAGCAAACCAAATAATTTCCACTCTGACTTCTTGCTTGTTAACATGGCAGACAAATCCTTCACAAATAATGTCATCTTTAAAAATATTCTCAGCAACTTAAGCTACAAATGTATATGACTGCATTTCAGCATAACTGCTCAGTCACAACGAGTGGGGTTCAGTGCTGGGTTAGGAGAGTGTTCTCTAAACACGTGTCTACACTCAAGAATATGTAGGCGTGCGTGCGTGCGTGCGTGCATGGGTGTATACAGTATGCTGATATGACTATTGTTAGTGACAGTCTGTGTAATTTACACACCAGTGCATTAGAGGCAACCTTACAGATTTCATCTATATAACATGAAACACAAATAAAATAATACTCTGAAAATACAAGTATTACAACAATAATACAATCAGCATTGGTGACAACTCCCTGGATTAGCCTTCACCAATACAAAACAGTAATGTATAACTTGCTTTGCCTTTTCTCGTCTCGGTAAGAACAAAGCCACAATAAAATGTACATACACAGGATCTGAAGTGAACACGTTGAAGTTTAAGCAAAGAGAAAAGGAAAAAGAAACCATTTTAATCCAAGTTAATGTTAGAAACCCAGGTCAATTACTTCTCCCACTTTGGGAGGAGCCGGGGAAAGTGTGGAAGTTAATGAATCAAATCCCTCTAATTCTCCTCAAATGCAAACAATCCTGCACATTTGGGACAGATATTCCTCCCTAACCCAGCTGGTAGGTGTGATTCACTATCTGCTCGCAACACTGAAGGCTGTTTCATTCAGACAGAAGACTGCACACGCTGTCCCTTTGAACTCATTGTCTGAGCTTCCTTTTAGAGACAAACCTCTGCTACTCATCTAATTATTTTCTTTTCCTGTAAATTTGAGAGAGGAATAAAGGCGAACTTTTGCACTTTCTTACTGTAGTCACGTCTGATTTCAGGCAAGTGCTCCTGGGACCACTTTTCCCTTGAAACCTGGTTGTTGTGTTAAGGCAATGAAAAGTTAAGAAATAGTTTTTAAAGTTTTCAGTATTTAAAATGCAGATTGTCAGAAAGATCTTCCAGTGAGATATTTCTCTTGGCTGAGGGCTATTCCGGGCCCTCCTATGTCTGGCACACACCCTCTCTTGGGTAGGTCAATTGGGGCAGGTATCTGGCCTGGGCTTTAGTGGGGGTCTGAGATTGTTACATGGATTGGCTGTAGTGCTGTTTGCTCTGCCACACAGATGGGATGTACTACAGGTAGCCCCCATCGCAGAAAGAGCAGAGCAGTTAGGTACCGCATTTTCTTGTTTCTCAACACCTTAACTACGTTAAGACTCTTCAAATTCATATTCATTTCTTCCTATAATCTACCCAGTCAACATTCATCTAATGGTGGCTTTAAATGTCCCAGAACATAATCAGTTTGCCTCTAACCTACTTTTGAGAACATGTTTGAAAGACCGGTGACTCAGAAACACAAAGGCAGTTATTTATAAATATCCAAGCAAAATCAAACTGAGTGTAGGAAGGCCATTGACGCCATTCTTATCAACGTGTTGTAAGTGAATATGACTCCTCATTTCACTCCAGTGGCATAAAACAAAAGTACAGAAAGTAGGTAGCAATTCCTAAAACAGTTCATGCTATGCCCTCAAAAGTTGTGCAAAACCAAAATACAGCAGTGGCAAAGTGCACACAAATATGCATAGTGTATGGAGAAACCCGGCCCAGGGCAGTTCGCATGGGGACACACTGTCAGCCTCACTTGGCCTGGCTGCTTTCCCCATTAATGAGCGTCTTCTCCTGCTGCTCTGCAAGGGCCTGCCATTTCTGTCTGTTCTTCCTGCAACCATCCAGCAAGGGCAAACAGTCCTCTGAAACATGGGTCAGGGCCTAAAACGAGAAAGGAAACAACTAGAAGGAAGTCTCTGCCACAGGCTTGCCAATAAGGGCTACGTTCACTGTGTGAGCAGCCCCACAGGTGACATTTTCTTAAGTCCTAGGAACACACACGTGAGTATTTGCCAAAGATTTCCCTTATGCTATACATCTAAGGAGGCATACTTGGGGACAAAGAGAGCACAAGCACTTACAATTAACCATGAGGGGGCTTGATGGAGAAGTTGAGGGGAGACTGTCTAGCAGGTATCGTCTTGAATAGGACCTGAGTTTGGTTCCCAGCACTCACGTCAGGTGGCTAACAACTGCCTACTGCTCCAGAGGGATCCATTGTCTCCGGCCTCTAGGAGCACCTATACTCGTGTGCACATCCTCACACAAAGGCACACACATAATTAAAAGCAAAATGCATCTTAAAGAATGTAGATGCTGAGCTTGGGGGGCTCGTTTGTGGGGCTGGACTCTGTGTCCGTATGGAAGCTGGCTGTCCCTGGGGGGCTGTGGGAACGAGCTAAGAGCTCTAGTGGCTGGCTGTTCGGCTTCACTAATCTTTCAGCTTTCATCCTTCAATTTCTGACTCCGGGCTCTTATTATTAAGACCTATTAGAAGTCATGTTATAGATAGCAATGAACTAAAGCTCTGAAACTGTAAGCAAGCCCCCAGTTAAATGCTTGCCTTAATAAGAATTGCCTTGGTCGTGGTAGCGCTTCACAGCAATAGAACTAAGACAATGCTAGAATCCTAAACTAAGAATGAGAACTCGAGACTGGGTGTAGTGGTGCATGCCTTTAATCCCAGCATTTGGGAGGCAGAAATAGGCAGATCTCTGTGAGTTTGAGGCCAGTTTGGTTTACAAAATGAGCTCCAGGACAGTCAGGGATGTACAAAGAAACTCGTGTCTCAAAAAACAAAACAAACAAAAAAACTAAGACTATGGCTTGGTGGTAGAATGCTTCCCTAGCACATACAAGAATCAGAGTTTTAGCCCTAGCACTGAAAAACAAAGAAACAAACAATGAGAACTGGTTTCTCAATTGTGCTTTCTACCAGCTATATATTTGGGGCAAATAATCTTTTGCTGTGGAAGATGAACTTTGCACATTCAATTACTGAACCTGCAATGTCTGGATTGGAAACTTTGTAGTTTTTGTCTGGTCTTAACCTTTCATGACAACTCCAGGGTAAATTTCTCAAGTAAATGAGACTCAAATCCATTTGAGCTGTTAGAAACAAAGACAGCATCTCTTTTCTTTGCTGGGTAGTAAACAAGTAAACCAGTACACCGAATATTAGATGCATCTTTTTACCAGAACAACAAAAGCCACAAAAAGCAAAGAAGGGAAACTAGTAGAAGGGAAACTGGAGGCCGCATTCATTCCTGCAGCCTCCTCCTTTAAGTATTAAGAAAAAATTCTTTAACGATATCTAAGCTACAATATGACTGTGAAAAAAAATTGGGTGACTATTTTGTACTCAGGCTAAAATGAAACTTAAAGAGATCATGCTAACACAGAGTCCACAGCAAGGACCTCCTCAAGGGCACCAGCACATGACTCTCAGTGTCCCCTCAATTAATGTGCTGGTGCCCAGCCCACCCTAGGCACTCAGGAGATATTTATATACCGAGTGAGTCAATGCCTTTGTGAAATAGGAAGTGTGAAATGTATCCCTTGCTCTGTACAGACATCACCTTCATCAGCAGAAAGAAACACTACCAATGATAATAACGGGGTTTTTTTGCCTTAGAAGCAAAAATATGTGTCTGGTGTTAATCTCTTCATAACACAATCTAAGTTTATCAATATAGCATTTCTCCTGTAGATACCTCATACAGCTGCAAGCAGATGGCGTCTATGAACCCAACTTGCATACTTGGGATTTTATTTTTCTTCTCCCTGTTCATTAGATCCTGAAAATACACACAAACACAGATCTATAGTTATTCCAGGCTCAGAGGAAAGGTTGCTGTGAAAAGATAGATCAGTGGTTATATGAAGGTGGTAAGATGGCAACTATACATACATGTAATATATATATAGTTATTATATATATACGTATATACATTATATATGTGTGTATCCCTAACCCTACAAAGAAAGGGAAGAAAATAAAACAAAGAGATCTCACATTTGAGATCTATACCTTTATATTAAATGGCTACATCAAACACTTTAAAGTCACTGTTCATTTCTGAGAATTTACCCTGACAAAATAATAAAGAGGAAGGGGCAGCAACGGAGCTGTTTGTCACTGTGCTGCCTGTGACAGTGAACTTGGCAAATATTACAGCAAAGGAAGTGAGTTAAGTTGTGATTACACTCATTTCACGTAATTATGATGCATATGCACCAAAGACCATATTAGAATAAAAGCGGCTTATTACATTCAAGCGAAGAAAACTGGGGGCATAACTTGTAGCAGTTTTTGTCTTCTTAGCTTGCTTTTGCTTTTGTAATCAGCATGTTTAATTCCTCTAAAAAGAAAGAAAGTGTTAAAAAGTACAGCGAGAAAACATATTCCCATGGAAAGGTGTCATAGAAGTATTAAGAAACAGTATACTCGAGCGGATCCAGGGAGACCAGGGGACCAGCTGTTCCTGCGGGACCAGGTACAACAGGCCCTGCATCTGGGCTTGTGTTCCAGTGCCTAGGGATTGCCTGGGAACTGCATGGAGCTTCCAATCCCGGAGGGAGCCAAACACCCTAGACTCCAGGTCTTCTCTCCCACCAACAAGACCAGGAAACCAGCTGATCCAGCAAAGGGACCAGGGGACCAGGTGGGAGGCTAAGCACCCCAGATTCCTGGTCTTCTTCTCCACCCACAGGACCAGAACGAGGATGAGGAATAGAAGAAATACCAGATTATTGGACTTGCTAGCACCCACCAAAAGGGAACTCTGATCCCTTAACCACCAGACCAATAAGGGGCTCTTTCTGCACCCACTAGAAGAAGAGATGGGAAAGAGACAATACAAAAACACACTCAGCAACAAAAAAACAAATATGACACCACCAGATTCTAGAGACTCCACACCAGCAAGACTCCAACATTCCAATGCAAATGAAGCAGAAGATAATGACCTTAAAACCACTTTCATGAAAATGATAGAGGCCCTAAAAGAGGATATAGGAAAATCCCTCAAAGAAATGGATGAAAAAACAACCCAAAAAAATGCAAGAAATGGAAGAAAAAACAAACCAAAAAATGCAAGAAATGGAAGAAGAAACAAACCAAAAAAAGGCAGGAAATGGAAGAAAAAAACAAACCAAAAAAATACAAGAACTGGAAGAAAAAGCAAACCAAAAAATGCAAGAACTGGAAGAAAAAGCAAACCAAAAAATGCAAGAAATGGAAGAAAAAACAAACCAAAAAATTCATAAAAGGCAACAAATGGATGAAAAGATAAACCGAAAATTGCAAGAAACAATGCAAACAGTGCAAGGGTTGAAAACTGAAATAGAGACAATAAAAAAAAACACAATCTGAAGAAAGGCTGGAAATAGAAAAGCTGGGCAAACGGTCAGGTACTACCGATACAAGCATTACCAACAGAATAAAAGAGATGGAAGAGAGAATCTCAGGTGTTGAAGATACACTAGGAGAAATGATACATCAAACAAAATCTTAAGTCAAACAAATCCTTAACACAAAACATCCAGGAAATATGGGACACCATGAAAAGACGAAACATAAGAATAATAGGTATAGAAGAAGGAGAAGAAAACCACCTCAAAGGGGCAGAAAACATATTCAACAAAATAATAGAAGAAAACTTTTCCAACCTTAAGAAAGACATGCCAATGAAGGTACAAGAAGCTTACAGAACACCAAATAGAGTGGATCACAAAAAAGTCCCCTCGCCACATAATAATCAAGACCACATAATAATCAAGGCCCCAAATATACAGAATAAAGAAAGAATATTAAGAGCAGCTAAGGAAAAAGGCCAAGTAACATATAAAGGCAGACCTATCAGAATTACACCTGACTTCTCCATGGAAACTCTGAAAGCCAGAAGGTCCTGGATAGATATTCTACCAGCACTAAGAGACCATGGATGCCAGCCCAGACTACTATACCCGGCAAAGCTCTCAATCACTATAGATGGAGAAAACAAGATATTCCATGACAAAACTAGATTCAATCAGTATGTATCCACTAAGCCAGCCCTACAGAAAGTTTTGGAAGGAAAACTCCAACCCAAGGAAGTTAACTACAACCAGAAAAACATAGGCATTAGAGAATCCCTCTCTACCAACAGCCAAAAGAACAAAGGGGTGAAATTCCACACATAATTCTACCAACAACAACCATTCCAAATCAAAGAAGAATGAACAATCTATGGTCATTGATATCCCTCAACATTAATGGCCTTAACTCACCCATAAAAAGACACAGACCAGCAGAATGGATTCGAAGACAGAACCCTTCCTTCTGCTGCATACAAGAAACACACCTCACCCTCAAAGACAGACATTACCTGAGAGTTAAAGGTTGGGAAAATTTTTTCCAATCAAATGGACCCAAGAAACAAGCAGGGGTAGCAATCCTAATATCTAACAAATTAGACTTTAAAATAAAATCATCAAAAGAGATGAAGGAGGTCATTACATACTCATCACAAGCGAAATCCACCAAGATGAAGTGTCTACCCTGAACTTCTATGCCCCAAATACAAAGGAGGCATCCACATTCGTAGAAGAAACGTTACTAAAACTTAAATCCCATATAAAGCCCCACACACTTATAGTGGGAGATTTCAACACTCCACTCTCACCACTAGACAGGAATACCAGACAGAAACTCAACAAAGAAGCAAAGGGCCTAATAGAAGTAATGACCCAACTGGTATTAACAGACATTTATAGAATATTTCATCCACATAAAAAAGAATATACCTTCTTCTCACCCACATGGAACCTTCTCAAAAATCGACCACATACTTGGCAACATATAAAAACCTCAGCAGCTTCAAAAAAATTGGAATAACTCCATGCATCTTATCAGACCACCATGCTTTAAAATTAGAATTCAACAACAATACAAATTGCAGAAAACCTACAAACTCATGGAAATTGAATAATTCACAACTGCACCATTCCTGGGTCAAAGAAGAAATAAAAAAAAGAAATCAAAGACTTCCTAGAATTCAATGAGAATGAAGACACAACATACCCAAACCTATGGGACACTTTGAAAGCAGTGCAACGGGGGAAGTTCATAGCACTAAGTGCCCACATGAAGAAACTGGAGAATAGTTATACTAGAGAAGTAACAGAACAGCTGAAAGCTCTAGAACACAAAGAAGCAAACTCCCCCAGGAGGAGTAGATGCCAGGAAATAATCAAATTGAGGGCTGAAATCAATAAAGTAGAAACTAGGGAAACAATACAAAGAATCAATGCAACGAAGAGTTGGTTCTTTGAGAAAATCAATAAGATAGACAAACCTTTGTCCAAACTTACCAAACAGCAGAGAGTAAACATGCAAATTAGCAAAATCAGAAATGAAAAGGGGGACATAACAACGGACTCTAAGGAAATTCAGAGAATCATCAGGTCATACTTTGAAAACCTGTACTTCACAAAATTCGAAAATTTAAAGGAAACGGACAACTTCCTGAATAGCTATCACTTGCCAAAATTAAATCAAGAACAGATAAGCAATTTGAATAGACCTATAACCCCTATGGAAATAGAAGCAGTCATCAAAAGTCTCCCAACCAAAAAAAGCCCAGGTCCAGATGGCATCAGTGCAGAATTCTACCAGAAATTCAAAGAACAGCTTATACCAATTCTTCTCAAAGTATTCCACACAATAGAAGCAGAAGGGTCTTTGCCAAACTCTTTCTACGAGGCTTCAATAACCTTGATCTCCAAGCCACACAAAGACACAAGTAAGAAAGAGAACTTCAGACCAATATCCCTCATGAACATTGATGCAAAAATACTCAATAAAATACTGGCAAATCAGATCCAAGAGCACATCAAAACAATCATTCACCACGATCAAGTAGGTTTCATCCCAGGGATGCAGGGATGGTTCAACATACGAAAATCCATCAACGTAATCCGCCATATAAACAAGCTGAAAAACAAAAATCACATGATCATCTCACTAGATGCTGAAAAAGCCTTTGACAAAATCCAACACCCCTTCATGATAAAGGTCTTGGAGAGATCCGGGATGACAGCAACATACTTAAACATAATAAAAGCTATTAAGTAAACCAACAGCCAACATCAAACCAAATGGACAGAAACTCAAGGCAATTCCTCTAAAATCAGGAACAAGACAAGGCTATCCACTCTCTCCATACCTTTTCAACATTGTACTTGAAGTTCTAGCCATTGCCATAGGACAACAAAAGGGGATCAAGGGGATACAAATTGAGAAGGAAGAGGTCAAACTTTCACTGTTTGCAGATGATATGATAGTTTACATAAATAACCCAAAGAACTCTACTAGAGAACTCTTACAGCTGATTAACACCTTCAGCAAAGTGGCAGGCTGCAAGATCAACTCAAGAAAATCAGTAGCCCTATTATATACAGATGATAAAAGGGCTGAGAAAGAAATCAGAGAAACATCATCCTTTACAATTGCCAAAACAACATAGAATAACTTGGGACAACGCTAAACAAACAAGTGAAAGATCTGTATCGCAAGAACTTGGAATCTTTAAAGAAAGAACTTAAAGAAGCCCTGAGAAAAATGGAAAGATCTCCCATGCTGTTGGATAGGTAGGATCAATGTAGTAAAAATGGCAATCCTGCCAAAAGCAATTTACAGATTCAATGCAATCCCCATTAAAATCCCAGCACAATTCTTCACAGACCTTGAAAGAACAATAATCAATTTTGTATGGAAAAACAAAAGACCCAGGATAGCCAAAACAATCCTGTTCAACAAGGCAATGTCCAGAGGCATCACCATCCCTGACCTCAAGCTCTATTATAGAGCTATAGTCCTGAAAACAGCTTGGTATTGGCACAAAAATAGACAGGTAGACCAATGGAATCTGAATTGAAAACCCGGATATTAACCCACACACGTATGAACATCTGATCTTTGACAAAGAAGCTAAAAATATACAATGGAAAAAAGAAAGCATCTTCAACAAATGGTGCTGGCATAACTGGAGGCTGGCATGTAGAAGAATGCGGATCAATCCATGTTTATCGCTATGCACTAAACTTAAGTCCAAATGGATCAAAGACCTCAACATAAATCTAGCTACACTGAACCTCTTAGAAGAGAAAGTGGGTGGTACCCTTGAACGAATCGGTACAGGAGACATGTTCCTGAACATAACACCACTAGCACAGACAGTGAGATCAACAATTAATAAATGGGACCTCCTGAAACTGAGAAGCTTCTGTAAGGCAAAGGACATAGTCAGCAAGACAAAAGGGCAGCCCACAGAATGGGAAAAAATATTCACTAACCCCACATCTGACAGAGGGTTGATCTCCAAAATTTACAAAGAACTGAAGAAGCAAGTCTCCAAAACACCAAAGGATCCAATTAAAATTGGGCTACAGAACTAAATAGAGAATTTTCAATAGAGGAGTCTAAAATGGCTGAGAGGCACTTGAGAAAGTGCTCAACATCCTTAGCCATCCGGGAAATGCAAATCAAAACAACTCTGAGATACCATCTCACTCCTGTCAGAATAGCTAAAATCAAAAACACCAACAACAATTTATGCTGGAGAGGATGTGGTAAAAGGGAAACACTCCTCCATTGCTGGTGGGAGTGCCAACTTGTTCAGCCACTTTGGAAATCAGTATGGAGATTCCTCAGAAAAATGGGAATAAACCTACCACAAGACCCAGCAACTCCAAAAGATGCCCGTTCATACAACAAGGATGTCTGTTCCACTATGTTCATAGCAGCATTATTTGTAATAGCCAGAACTTGTAAGCAACCTAGATGTCCCTCAACCGAAGAGTGGATAGAGAAAATGTGGTACATTTACACAATGGAGTACTATTCAGCAGAAAAAAACAATGGAATCCTGAGATTTGCAGGCAAATGGATGACACTAGAAGAAACCATCCTGAGTGAGGTAACGCAGTCACAAAAAGAGAAACATGGCATGTACTCTCTCATATATGGATTTTAGACATAGATCTGGGGAGTGCCAGCCTACAATCCCATGGCCAGAGAGTCTGGGAAACAGAATCTTCATTCAGTGGCTGACGGAAGAAGAGGCAGACTCCCACGGCTAAGCACTGAGCTGAACTCAAGAAAGCCAGTAACAGAGAGAGAGGACTGATGACCAAAGGCATTAAGACTGGGCTGGCTTAACCCCCCAGAAACAGCTGGCCTGACAAGGGGTAGCTCTAGAATCCCAGGCATCAGCCTGGGAATCCAGCATGGTACTGATCAAGAGCCCTTGAATGGTGGTTTCAGTGAGGAGGCCTAGGTAATTTATTGAGCCTTGGGCAGTAAATCAGTATTTATCCCGAGTATACATACGGACTTTGGACTCCCATCCAACAATGTGAGATGCACTCTTACCCTGAACTCTTGGGGAGGGTCTAGGCCCTGCCCTGGATGAAATGACAAACTATGGACACCCCCATGGAGGGCCTCACCCTCCCTGGGGAAATGAGGGGATATTGAGGGGGGTTGAGGGGAGGGCACGGGAGGAGGAGAGGGAAACGGAGAGGGACCTGGAACTGACTTGTGAAGCAACCTTGTTTCTAATCTAAATTTAAACTTAAAAATAAATAAATAATATATATATATGTATGTATATATATATATATATACATATATATATATATATATACACACACACAAAACAAAAAGAAACAGTATAATCTTTAGCCAATTCTGGTCACATGCTTGCAACTCCAGCACCAAGAGGCTGAGGCAAATGGACTGCAGGATTGAGACTGGGCTGATGTACTCAGTAAAAAGTCTGTCTTTACAGTAAGTATATGATTTAAAAACGTGATTGAGTAGTTCTTACCAACAAAACCGTACTTACAGCAGGCTCAATGTTGAGTTCTTTTCTCTCCCTATCTCCTTGATCGAAGAATTCAGCTGCCACGAGTTCTGCTATCTGAAACAGAGAGCAGACTGAGTGTTGGGGGAAAGCATGCTACTCTGCAAAACCAGGACTTTGAATAAAGTTAATTAAATGCAGCAAATCGGTTGTGTCCACCACATCAGGAGCATTAGGATAAAACAGCTACAAGAAACAGAAATAAGGCTGCATCTGCTTTAACCATGCAACTAACCACAATCATGTGATCTTCTGTAACTAAGCAGGAAGTGACATGTTTCATTCAGTCTGCCAATCAGTACCAAGACTGTGCCCATCTGCATGAATAATCACAAAGCAATTTTTAAGCACTTGTTTCTTTAATTGTTTTCAGACAGGGTTTCTCGTAGCTTTGGAGCCTGCCTGGAACTAGCTCTGAGGACCAGGCTGACCTCAAACTCACAGAGATCTGCCTGTCTCTAACTCCCAAGAGCTGGGATTAAAGGCATGTGCCACCACCATCCAGCCATTTCTTTAATTTTTTTTAAAAACACAAATTTCTTGAGAATTTCATACAAAGTATTTTGATCATATTCACCCTCCACTTTTAACTCCCCTCTTCCTTGCTTGTTTTCAAAATCATGGCCTCTTTTTTCTTTAGTTGTTGTTAGCATGTGTGTGTGCAGATATAATTTCTAAACATATTATTGACAGCCTGCTCAGTCAGTGTAATGCTACTTGTGTGCATTTTTCAGTGCTGACCCTTTGGTATTGGATGTGCTCTTCCTGGCTGGGGAAGATGGCCTCTCCTGCCCCTACAGTTGTCTGTAGTTCTTTGTGAAGCTGGCTGTCCCCCAACCATGTTATCACATCTATTGGTGACCAACTCATGTTTGGGCAGCCATGTTGTTCCGACCTTATGGATGTGGCTTCTGACATTCCTAGGACACATGACGTCACAGCAAACTCCATGTTCTTAAGTACCTGTTTATAAAAGGTAGGTAAAAACGCAAGCAAGCAAGCAAACAACCGTCATCCAATGCTGTATTGTGGCCGCTTGACGGGCTTTTAGGTTTCTTGTAATCTCTCTTGCAATCTTTTCTTGCAATCTCTATTGTTGGTGAATACTCTGGTTTGTTTACCTTAGAGTGTCCCAGAGTCTAGATTCTGTAGACCACATTCTCATAACGCCTTTTACTGGTTTCTTAAAGCTCAGTTAGATTGACATCTCATTTTCTCACCAGTCAGCTCCTAAGGCGTGGTGCAGTAGTCACTAATTATATGGAGTCGGTCCCTCTTTTTGTGATACTGGCAATAATTACTGATGTTTTCTGGAGTCCATTTATTAGAGGCTCTCACACGGGTGACAGTCAAAGCCAACATTTCTTAGGTTTGTTTGTACCACCTTTAAGTACCAAGAAAGTTTCCCATATCGATCATTTGGATATGCTTCAGTGTAATTCATATTGAAGAAAACAGGCTTCTTCTCAGTGTACCTATTATAAACCCACTTGGGTTCTCAAGCATCGATCAAAGGTGACAATAGAAGACTTCATCTTTTCTAATACTTTTGTTATCTGAATTCTTGTTGTTTTTGTTTTCCAAGACAGGGTTTCTCTGTGTAGTTTTGGCTGTCCTGGAATTTGCTCTCTAGACTCTGCCTCCTGAGTCACCTGTGCCACCACTGCCCGGCTGCAACAAGTGCTCTTAACTACCGAGCTGACTCTCCAGATAAATAATAATGGTTATTAAAAGCTATTTTAGTTTTATATCCTTTCATGATTCATATGCTCATTATCTGAATTTCCCCATCACCTAGCATTTATTCTTTCTTGTTCTCCTTTTTACATTATATTGTATCTATCTACATGTACATTTGTTTATGCATCATGCATCATCTATATCTGCGTCTGTGTAGATCTGTGTCTAGGATCCACATATGAGAGAGAACATACAGCTTTAGCTTTTTCTTCTGAGACTGTCTGACCTTGCCTAACATTGTACTTTCAAGTCCACTCATTTTCATGAGAATTTTGTGATTTCATTTTTCTTAGAGCTGATAGCATTCCAGTTTATATTTGTACCATACTTCACTGGTGGTAGACTAGGTTGACACCAGTCTTTTGCTACAGTGAATAAGGCAGCAATAAACATAAGTATGCAAACATCTCTGTGACTGAGTACAGAGTTATATGAATATATGCCCAAGAGGTACAGATGGGTCATGTGGGAGCTCTATCTTTAAGGTTTGCAGGAACCTCCGAACAAACTTCCATATGGCTGTAATAACTTACACCCCTCCTCCCAGTGATGAACAATAGTTCCCTATCTCCATATTGTCTCCAACATTTGTTGTCAAATTTGTTGATGAGAGCCATTCTAACTGGGGTAATACAGTATCTCAAAATAGTTTTAATTTGCATCTCCCTGATGGCTAGGGATATTGAACACATTTTATAAAAGTCATTGGCCATCTGTGTTTCTTTTCTTGAGAATTGTCTATACCTTCATCAGCCCATTTGTTGACTGGCAGTTTTATTCCCTTGGCAAACTAATTTCTTAAAGCCTCACTGGTGCAGAGTCTCTCACTCTGCAGGTTGTCTGCTCTGCTCTGCTGATGGTTTCCCTTTGCTCTGCAGTAAGCTTTTCATTTCATATAGACCCAGGTAGTCGCTGCTGACACTGAGGGCCAGTCTCTGTCCTATAGCGGGTCTATTCAGAAGTTCTGCCAACTCACTGTCTTGAAGAGTATCCTCCATTTTCCTCTAGTAGTCTCAGCATTTCAGGTTTTAAATTAAAGTCTCTGATCTATTTTGAATGGACTTTTGACAAGTGTTAAAAGACTCTTACTCCATTCTCTTGAAGTAGACAGGGAGGTTTGTCAGCACCATCTGTCAACTAGACTACCCTCCCTCCCCATAAAATGTATTTCTCACTCCTTTGTAAAAAACCAAGTGGGCATAGCTTTGTTGTTTTATTTCTGGGTCCTCTCATTTATTCCATTGGAATACCTGTCTATCTAAATTTTAAAAATATATTTTATGTATACAGGTGTCTTGCCTGCATGTATGTATGTACACTACATGCAGATCTAGTGCCTTCAGAGGTGAGAAGAGGGCATCAGATCCCTAGGGATTGGAGTTATACCATTGTAAGCTGCCATAACTGAACCTGGGTCCTCTGGAAGAGCAGCAAGTACTGACCGCCTCTCCAGCCCTGTCTACTTTTATGACAGTGCCACACTGTCTTTATCACTATAGTTCTGCAGTATACTTTGAAGTTAGGTGTTGTGATACTTCTCAAAGTTTTCTTACTTCTTAGAATTGCTTTGACCATTGCTGTTTTAGTTATATCAAATCTGTCATTGATTTTTCATTTTGCTTTTTTGGGGGGTGGTGAATAAATGCATAAATATTATTGATAGTGAAAGTATCTAATGTTCAGCCCCACATTTTCAGAATGGCTATCCTAACTGTGTAGAAGTTCACTGGGATGCACAATGTATAAGTCAGGTTTCTCTAGAGAAACTCTGCTCTGTGATTTGCCTATTTACCTACTAAAGGCTGGAGACAGCATCCTCATCTGCCACCAACACCCGAAGCAGCATAGGGTCTGCTGGATCACATGCAGAGCCTTCTCCTGTTCCAGGCCCCCACAAAGCTAGCAGCTTTCCTTGTCATGTAATACATGGGCCAAAGTCACACACCCAAGAGAGGAACATGCTGTCTCTAGAACCCAGATAGGCCCAGCAACTGCTGTGCTTCTTTCTTGATGGAGGAAGGGGTTTACCCTTCATCTTAGAAGGAGTATCTCTGCATGGTCCACATCACTGGACTCCTAAGAATTTCACTGAGGTAGAGGCCCTTGAATATTGGTTGGATTTATTTCCCATCCTCTGATGCATATGTGTTACCGACAAGTCCAAAGTGTTCGCTGCCTCCCACTCACTTAGTCCAGTTAGCATAATGTCACCAATATAGGAGACCAGTCTGATATTTTGTGTAAGAGACAGACAATCAAGGTCTTTTTATTTTAAATCACAAACAACTGTGTGAGCTTCCATATTAAACCTAGAATCTCCCCATTCAGTGGACTGCACCAATAAACTCAGCCTGATCTAGTTTGTTTCTTCCACCATTATCTCAAACCTATAAAATCCATTCCCACATAGATTCCCCAGATTTCTGCTTGGATGAATTAGCAAACTCATTAAGCTCTTCTGTGGTATATTGTACCTCCTCATGGACAACATTTCTACCTCCCCTCTAGGAGCCTGTTTAGCCTGGGGGTCTGGTCATAGGTCTAGAGGAAACTACTGGTGGGTCCTGAGGGACATCAGTACTGTCTTGCCTAGCGTCTCCTTCAGGGAAAGTCCAGTAGACAAAGCAGGATTAATTCCCTTGGGCTAAGGAAGAAGGGGTGTTATTGCTGGAAGTCAGGTAGGGATGTACCCTTTGCTGGGGTAAAGAGCCTGCTTCCTCTGCTGAAATAAACCCTCCAGAATCTGAAGGTTCAAGTCCTCAGCCTCAGGAGTGCCCTCATACACATCTCCATCCCAAGTCACAGGATCCAGTTCCTTGCCAATCAGTGTCCTTCCTTTAGCCGATGACACTCGCTGAGGCCCGGCCTTGAACTTGCATTGTAATTCAGCCAGTCTTTTAGTAAGGGTTCAGTTTTATTTTGCACAACCTGAGCTTGGTGGCTGTTGGAGAGAAAACTGTTTTCCAGGGCACACTTAGAAACCTTTAGACTGTTTATGCACACCTGGATTATTGTACCAGAGTTCATTGTTTTCCTTGTAACTATACTGAGATGCTAGACATTGGTTAATTTTATCAAGCAGCTCACTTTTTCCTTTTGTTAATATATGCAGGGGTGCTAGATGCAACCAGCTGGCACTGTTATTTTCCCACAATTGTCAAATGTTTCAAGCATAGAGTCACTAAATTCCTTGCTCTTCCCAATAAGTCAATAGGGATAAGCAAATGTATTTATCTCAATGCATTCCTCAGATAGTTCACAACAGGGATTTTTAATGTTCTCCATGATCCTAGGAGGCCCTAGTAACTATGGGTGCT